ATCAGTGGAGTTAAACACGATTAATTCCGCATTAAAACAGTCAATAAAACTGAGACTGATTATTTCAATAACTGGGACCTTTATTATACTGTCTATAATCACTAAGAAATATATCAAATATTCTGTATATTCTGTATGTGTGTATATACACTCACCTGCCACTTTATTAGGTACACCTGTCCAACTGCTGGTTAACACTAATGTCTAATCAGCCAATCACACGGCAGCAGCTCAATGCATTTAGGCATGTAGACATGATCAAGAGGATCTGCTGCAATTCAAAGCATCAGAATGGGGAAGAAAGGGGATTTAAGAGACTCTGAACGTGGCATGGTTGTTGCTGCCAGACGGGCTGCTCTGAGTATTTCAGAAACTGCTGATCTACTGGGATTTTCACGCACAACCATCTCTAGGGTTTACAGAGAATGCTCCGACAAAGAGGAAATATCCAGTGAGCGGCAGTTCTGTGGGCGCAAATGCCTTGTTGATGAGGCCAGAGGTCAGAGGAGAATGGCCAGACTGGTTCCAGCTGATAGAAAGGCAACAGTAACTCAAATAAGCACTCGTTACAACCGAGCTCTGCAGAAGAGCATCTCTGAACACACAACACGGCCAACCTTGAGGCGGATGGGCTAAAGCAGCAGAAGAGCACACCGGGTGCCGCTCCTGTCAGCTAAGAACAGGAAACTGAGGCTACAATTCACACAGACTCACCAAAACTGGACAATAGAAGATTGGAGAAACGTTGCTGCTCTGATGAGTCTCCATTTCTGCTGACACATTCAGATGCTCGGCTCAGACAACATGAAAGCATGGATCATCCTGCCTTGTATCAGCGGTTCAGGCTGGTGGTGGTGGTGTAATGGTGTGGGGGAGATTTTCTTTGGGTCCATTAGTACCAATTGAGCATCAACGCCACAGCCTACCTGAGTATTGCTGCTGACCATGTCCATCCCTTTATGAGCACAGTGTCTCCATCTTCTGATGGCTACTTCCAGCAGGATAACGCAGCATGTCATAAAGCTCAATCATCTCAGACTGGTGTCTTGAACATGACGATGAGTTCACTGTACTCAAATGGCCTCCACAGTCACCAGAGCTCAATCCAATAGAGCAGCTTTGGGATGTGGTGGAACGGGAGATTGGCATCATGGATGTGCAGCTGACAAATCTGCAGCAACTGTGTGATGCTATCATGACAATATGGAGCAAAATCTCTGAGGAATATTTCCAGCAGCTTGCTGAATCTCTGACATAAAGGATCAGGGCAGTTCTGAAGGCAAAAGGGGACCAACCCAGTACTAGTAAGGTGTACCTAATAAAGTGGCCGGTGTATGTATATGTGTGTGTGTATATATATGTATATATATGTGTGTGTGTATATATAAGTGTATATATATATAAGTAAAAATCCTGTAATGTAAAAGTGTGTGTGTGTGTGTGTGTGTGTGTGTGTTTCAGGAACTGGGATTCTGTCTCCACAACCAGAGGAAAATCCTCACTGGTGGAACGCAAACACTGTGTAAGACACCACTGTTACTGAGACAACATATGCTGGATATGGGATTTGACTCTTTTATATTGTTTACTATTTTAATAATGGAGAAATCAGATAATAAAGGATTAATCAGAACTGTATGAATATAAATTGTGCGTGTGTGTGTGTGTTTGTGTGTATGTTTGTGTGTCTAGGTTTGTGCCGTACTGCTCCAGTGACGTTTGGAGCGGCTCTACACCAAAGACTGACCAGAGTAAAACACACACACACACACACATCATTCACATTAATCTTTGTGTGCATGAGTAACGTGTGTGTGTGTGTGTGTGTTCAGATGACTATGCGTTCATGGGCTCTCTGATCATTCAGGAGGTCATCAAGGAGCTCTTAACTAAAGGACTTGATGGAGCCAAAGTCCTGCTGCTGGCCGGAAGCAGGTGAGAGAGAGAGAGACACAGACACAGACACAGACACACACACACAGACACACATATATATATAGTAGTGATGTTTTTGTGTCTTGTTTATCTGCCTGTGTGTCTATTTAAAATATAGTGTATGTATAGAGTGTCTCTCCCTCCCTATATATAATATATAATTATCTTATCAATTATCTATAATATCTAAATATTTGTATATCTTTCTCGGTGTGTGTATATATTGATTTCTGTGTGTGTGTATGTAGCGCGGGCGGCACTGGTGTGCTGCTGAACCTGGACCGTGTGTATGCGCGTCTGCAGGCGGAGGGTGTGTTCTCGGTGCAGGTGCGCGGGCTGGTGGACTCGGGCTGGTTTCTGGATCATCAGCAGATCAGCGGAGGGAGACTGCAGACACACACTCAGCTGCGCTCCCACTGACGCCATCAGGAGAGGAGTGCGGTCAGTCCAGTTATTATCTCTGTGTGTGTGTGTGTGTGTGTGTGTGTCTTACTCACTGACCTGTGTGTGTGTGCAGATACTGGCACAGTGTGGTTCCCGAGCGCTGCAGTCGAGCTCATGACGGACAGGACTGGAACTGCTTCTTCGGCTACAAGGTCCAGCCCACAATCCAGAGTATGACTGACACACACACACACACACACAAACACACACACACACACCTTTTATATTTTTATAGCCTTTTCATATTTGTGTGTGTGTGTGTGTGTGTGTCAGGCCCGGTGTTTGTGGTTCAGTGGCTGTTTGACGAGGCTCAGCTGACAGTGGACAACATTCACCTGACGGGTCAGAAACTGCAGGAGAGCCAGTGGAGATACATCCAGAACCTGGCCACAACACTCAGAAACACACTCGCCAACGTCACGTAAGCTCAGAAACACACACTGACATGCATGCAAATACAGACACAAGCAGGATCCAATACACACACACACACACACACACACACACACACACACACACACAAATGATATAATGTATTAGTATCTGTCTCCAGTGTAAATGTGTTTACAGTCAGACTGAGCTCTGATTGGCTGTTGGTTGTTTTGATTGACAGGGCCATGTTTGCTCCCGCCTGTCTCTCTCACGAGATCATCACTAGAAGGTGAGCACATCAAGAGCACTACCTCAGATTACTGCACAGCGAAAAAAACGCTTTATTTCGGTTATTAATGCTAAGATCATCATTTTCTGCATCATATCTTACACACATTAATCCTAATTTATATTAGTGCCAATTATTATTTCAATAACAATTCATTTAAAATTACAGAAATTAATATGAACATAAAAATATTAAAAACACAACACAAGTGTAAATGTAAAATAATTGAAACATTAAGAAGTGTTATAAATAACAAAACAAAAGCAGTTAAAAACGTAAGCTCTATTTCTGTTAAGTGAACATTTTCTACATTTGTCTACATTTTCTAGTCACATTTGATTAATAAAGCATGCGTTAATAAATGATGTGTTTAATACACAAGTAAACAGTAATCGTGTGTATGAATGATCATCAGCATGTAACATATGCGTGTGTTTCTGCAGTTACTGGACAGATGTGCATGTGAAGGGCACGTCTCTGCCACGGGCGCTCCAGTGCTGGGATCGCAGCCTCCGTCACCATGGCAACAGCAGTGCCCAGGCTCCGCCCCGTGGCTGCCCGCTGCAGTTGATTGACAGCTGCCCTTGGCCGCACTGTAACCCGTCGTGCCCGAGTGTCCGAGAGCAGCAGATGAGCGCAGTTCAGTTCCTCACACAGCTGGGCTTCGACATTCAGCGCATGGCACAGCAGCAGGGCATCGAACCCAACACACTACTGGGCATGCTCAATAACGGCACCTAGAAAACTCACAGACATGGCAATCGGGCATCGAACCAAACATGCTCAGTAACACCACCTATACAACACAGACAGCGCTTTATGATGGGCATTAAACGCATCACTTATTGGGGGGTGGGCTTACAATCATCCCAACGGTGCGGGCTCTTACAATCATCCTAACTCCGCCCCCCCTTATGTGTGTGTGTGTGAGTATGTCTGAGTAAGTGTGTGCGCCTGTGAGATGGAGTATGTGTGTGTCTCTCTGTCCGTGAGAAAGTGTGTGTCTGCAATCTCTCGTCTCGATCAGATTCAGGGTTGTACAGGAGTGTGAGTCCCTCTGCTGGACACTCCACACACTGCAGAGACGCTAGTTATGTTTTTCACTTGCTTTAAATCGTCCGAGCAAAACCAGCAGACTGACCACACACACACACACACACACACACACACACACACACACACACACACACACACACACACACACACACACACACACACACACAATCACAACAAACATGACAAGACAAAACACAAACATTGAGAAATAATATATTTAGGAGAGATCAAATTGCCAATAATGCACATAATAATAATGATAATATTGATAATAAACTGTTTTTTTTGCTAAATATAAATATAAAGGAGGCTTGTTTCACAACATCAATAATAAATACAACAATCCTCCTAAAATGGCCATAATTTTGATAATACTCCATGTTCTCCTGGGCTTCAGTGATGATTTGTGTTTGTTGACGTCCTCCTCCTCCTCCTCCTCCTGTGGTTTGTTGATGATGTTCAGACTGAAGACATTGTAAGCTACTTTATATGTTATTTATTTGATGTGAATCGTATTTATGAGTGACTCTGAGACTTGGCTTTGTGTAAAGTGTACAGACCTGTTGCTGTTTCGTTCGCATGCCTTCATCTACACATTATCGCTCATCTCCATAAGTTGTGTGTTAATGTCTACTCGACTATACAGGAGTGTGACTTTAGTTGTCGTTTCTGTTGCTTATTTCCATCTTTTAGTCTTTTGTTTACTAGTTTCTTCTAAAATCCCACAAAAAATTAGTTAGAATTGATCAATACAGCTGCCGTTTCCTCTGTTATTTTTTATTCCATGCTGGAAAACAAGTTTCAAGGCAGTGTTTAATAAAAATATCATGTTTATTAAAAAATGTTGTTCTGAAATCTCTATTCATAATAATAATAATAACAACAATCACAGTGTGTGAAACACAAGATCCAGTTTCTGGCGTCAGAATTGAAGTAAACAGTGAATATTTAATATTTCCACATTTCACAGTCGAATTTAAAAGTGTCCCAATATAGAAAACACAACAAACCAGCGTCCCCAACCTAATCCTGTGTGCTCTTCATCATCATCATCATCATCATCATCATCATCATGAAGATCGTCTGCATACATCAGTGAAGATCATCAGGAAAAACTGGAGCCCTGAAAGCAGATGCAGAGAAGGAGAGAATCTCTAATAGCAGCATATGTTTACAAAAAGGAGTCATGTTTCATACAATAATATTATATTAAAGGTGATGTTTACCTGAGATTTTGTCTAATCACAATAGTGTTAATAACTCGTCTCTAATAACTGAAGTATTTTCTCCTTGTCATGATGACAGCACATAATATTAGACTAGATCTTCTTCAAGACACTAGTGTTCAGCTTAAAGTGACATGTAAAGGCTTCACTAGGGTAATTAGGGTAATTAGACAGTGTATATAGTGTGCATATTATATTATTGTGTCTATGTATGACTATAGATTACAGTGTGTATACGAATATAGCTGTATGTGTGTGTCTTTGAGTGTGTACGTGTGCATGTGTGTGTATAAAATGCGTGTGTGTGCATGTGTATACAACTGTGTATGTGTGCATATAACTGTATATAACAACGTGCACATGTTTGTGTATATATATAATATAATTGTGTGTGCGCATGTCTATATGAATGTGTCTGTGGGCATGTGTGTGTGTGTGTGTGTCTATATAACTGTGTGCAGGCATGTTTCTGCAGATAACTGTGTGTGTGTCTATTTAATGATGTGTGTGTGTGTGTGTGCGTGCATATAATTGTACAAAACTGTACATGTGCATGTGTGTGTATATATAACTGTGTGTGTGTGCTCATTTGTATATTGTGTGTGTATGCATGTATAACTGTGTGCAAGCATGTTCGTGTATATAATTGTCAGTGTCTGTATTTCATAATGTGTGTGTATATAACTGTGTGTGTGTATTTAATAGTGTGTGTATTTATGTTTATATAATGGTATGTGTGTGTGTGTGTGCACGCATGTGTGCATATAATTGTGTGTAGAAAACTGTACGTGTGCATGTGTGTACTCATGG